TCGTTAACGGCATCGGGACCGAGCGGGGACAAGAAACCCCCCAAAAAAGTGGCCAAAGGGCAAGACCTGGGCCGAGGTGACGGCTCGAGAGCTCAAACCCGCAGGCAAAAGAGCTTCCTCTTTGCAGCAGGAGCCCAATATCCACGCGCTGCGCCGCTTCGCTCCGGGTTACATAAATCGGATTATTCTTCTGGCACCCGAACAGCACGGAGTCATCGCTCTGGCACGGGAGCAACCCCATTCCCTACGTGCCAGAAAGCTCCCGGCCATCGCCTGAACTCCGGCAGGCTCCTGCTTCCCGACCTTGACTCTTTCGCTCCGTGTTTACCGAGATAAAGGGGACCCAGGTATGAAAATTATTTGGCCGCGGTCCAGGACGTGTCGCTGCAGGAACGGGCCGCGTCACCGGGCGCAGCCACCGACAGCCCCTGCCTCGTCCCTCCTTCCAAAGGCACCTCCTGGATGGGGAATGCAGCAGGCTGAGGCTCTACAGCGCTTCCTCCGTCCGCAGGAGGGTTGCCCATGGAGGAGTATATTGGGTCTCCTAATCCGCCCGGAGAGCCGCGGGGAGGCTTCCCAGGACACGTACGTGCAAGCCCCGACCTGCCGACGGGGGCCAGTCGTGGCCAAGAGCAATTTGTCAAGCGGGTTCGGAAACGCCTCCGAGCGGCACCGCGCTCCGAAGGGCGCCGGGAGAGCCCGGCATCGCTCCGAGCCTTCCCGGCTGCACAAAACCAGCCCTGGCCAAGGGCTTCGCAGCAGACGCAGCGGCCAAGGAGGAGATTTCAAAACCCACCCTGTTTATCCGGAGTCTTGCGGTGCTTCCAGGTGCCTCCGGCGCGCGCGGTGCCCGGAGCGCTGGTTTCGCAGCCCTGTTTGGGCTGGATTGCAAAACGCGGCGCTCCGCTCCGCTCCGGCTCCCGCTCGGAGAAGCCCCGGAGCCAAAAGCTCCGTGACGAGCAACTCGCCAAGGCGGCCGCACCCGGAACGCCGCTCGGCTCCGGGAAGGCTCCGCACGCGTCTCAACGGAGCGGAGAAAATTGCGGGAATGTTTAGACTAAGAAGCCCTTGGGGAACCACTCCGGGGAATTCGGGTCCTCCACGGAGCCATGGGACACTGGGAAGTTCCTGGCCCATCCATGGGCATTCCGGGCCCATCCGTGGGCCCAGCCCTTCCGCTCGTCTCCGGCCGAGGCTGGAATTCCCCAGCGTGCCGACCCGCTCCGCCTCCGCTCTTGGTGCCAGCGCAAGTGCCACCAAGTGCCACCGAAGCCGTCCCCCGAGCTGCCGCCTTTGCTCCCTTCAAACCACAACTGCCACCAGCGTTTTCTTTACAACCAATTCCCATCTCACGGGGAATCGGGCGAATTCCCATTTCATCGGGAAAACACTCCCTTCCCGGTGTCCTTAGCCATGTCCAAAGCTACGTGCTGGCTCTTTCCTCCCGTCTCACCGATCCCAGCGGATCCAGAGCAGCCCCCGGGGAAAGGCGCATCCCGGAGCGTGCCGGGATCCATGGGAGCCCAGACAGAGCCTCCGGCTCGGAGCAATGACCAGCCTTGTTCTGCACGAGGGGACAAGGGGACGCAGGGCACAGGCCACCCTTTATACGGCCCCGCTCCCGAGCGAGGCGTCCCGGGGCTTCCCGCTCCGGCTCCGGCTGCTAAGAATAGAGGGGCTTCACAAAGGGGACCTTGTCCCGCTCGGGGACACTGAAGAGGGTCCTTGAGCGGGGCCCGCCGGGCAGCGTCAGCCTGCAGGAATGTCCCGGCGTCACGGGCAAAAAATGCCTGGGAAGGCGGGAACGTTGTCCGAGCGGGTCCTCCATGTCCCACCCGGGAGCCTTGCCGGCTCCGTGTCCCTCCGGTGCCACCGGTGCCACCCGGCCGCGCCACCGGCCCCGCTCTCGAGCCCCCGCCCCTGCCAACGGCCTCCGTTTGAGAGCAGAAAAACAGCGGCAACAAAAAAAGTACAAAAAAGGGAAAAAAGAGAGACAAAAAGCCACCCCCGCCCGCGAGCGGCACACCTATTCTTCTCGCTCTGCGGTCTGTGGTTGCAACCAAACAAAACACCCGGCCATGGCAACAGCTCCAAAACAGCTCCAAAACGCTCACGGTGTCCCCGCGCCGTCCCCGCCGGGACCGCGAGGGGCTCGGGAGAGCGGGATGGAGGAAAAGGGGCACGAAGGCCACGGCGGGAGGCGGAATCGCGAGCGACCCCTCGCTCGGTTTGGGGAGAGGCGCCGGCGTCCGGAGCGACCCCGCTCCGGCGATGGGAACCGAAGCCCCCCCGCTCCGGAGCGGCTCCGTTCCCCCTTCGAGGCAGATAAGAAAACCGGCCCCAACCTCCGCGCGAGCAGCCATGGCAACCCGTTAAATTAGGTCAAGATGCGGGGGCAGATAAGGGCGCTCGCGGCGGCGGCCCGCGCGCCGGGGCGCGGAGCACATCAAACGCGCGCGGCGCTTCCGCCGAAATGCACCTTCCCGCCGAGGCGCCGATAGCATCGGAGCACGGGGCAAAACAGGCCCCGAGGGCGGCCGGAGCATCCCGGCCTCGCTCCGCGGGGCCTCCGGAGGAGCCGGGAGCTGCCAACGCAGCCTGGGTTCCTCCGCTGCGCCAAGCGAACGGCCCCGCGCTGCTGGCCCCGACGGGGACGTCCCCGTGTCCCCCTTGGCAGCAGCACGAGGCCACGGGGCGGGTGGCACCTCCGTCTGCAAAAGGCCTCCGCTCCGAGGCCTTTGCTGCTTCCGCACCGAGCAAGCGTCACCAACGAGGCGCTGGGTGCACAAAACGCTCCTGGCAGGCCCCAGCAAAGGTGCGAGCGGGGGAAAAGGGGAAGAAAACGGACAGCTCGCGCTCGCGGGGCTCCTCTTCCATGGAATTTCCATCGGCAGAGCCAAGGGGTGTCTCGGGATGCGGGAGCCGCCCGGGAACGGCAGCGCGCTCCTGTTTTGCACAGCCCCGCGGAGCAGGCTGGGCCGAGCTGCCTTTCTAACGCGAGCTGCAGCACCAAACCACTTCCTTTTTGACACATAGCTCCTAAAATTATCTCCCTCCCCTCTGCAGCTCCCCCCGGCAAGCAAAAAAAAATGTAAAAAAAAAACTCAAGTTATCAGCCCCACGAGCCGCGCGGTGCGTGGGAGGAGATTTCAGGGACAGGCACACCTCAGGATCTGCTCTCAACCTTTTGATGATCTTTATCTGCGCAAACTATTTCCACCGCCGGGTTCCTGCGGGCCTTGGTAGCAGGGCAGGAGGGATCAGCGCTCACAAGAGAAAGGGGAAGCGGCAGGAGGCTGCCCTGCAGCTTTTCTTGGTTGGTGCAGAGGGACAGGCACTCGCTCGAAGCTCCTTTGCATCCCGTTTCTCTCCACGGCACAGGAGATGGCCACCTGGCTTGAGGCAAGGGTGGCCAGCAAGTTGCATCAAAGTAGCGGAGCGACGAGCCTAAAATCCTGGTTCCCTAAGATCCTAGATTGCTCATGGGCTAGTTCTGGAGTGCCCAGGCTGGAAGGAGATGCAGTCCTCATGGGCAGCATGCTGGTAGGTGACCTCTGGGGACAATCCCAAGGGCTCTCCAGTGCTCAGTGTTGGGCTGACAAGAGGCTGGAGGTTGCAAGGAGCCAAGAAGACCTTGGTCAAACCAAGAAGACCTTGGGCAAACCAAGAAGACCTTGGGCAAGTCAAGAAGACCTTGAGCAAGCCAAGAAGACCTTGAGCAAACCAAGAAGACCTCACTCAAACAAAGAAGATGTTGGGCAAGCCAAGAAGACACTGAACAAGCCAAGACCTTGGGCAAGCCAAGAAGACCTTGAGCAAACCAAGAAAACCTTGCTCAAACCAAGAAGATGTTGGGCAAGCCAAGAAGACGTTGAACAAGCCAAGAAGACCTTGGGAAGCCAAGTTCACAGTGGCTCTACAGGAGGGGAGGTGACACAGGTGCTGTCCCCACCGCGCCGCCGGTGTCACCTACCTGTGTAGCCAGCCAGGGCAGCAGCAGGGATGACAGGCTTGTCCTTGTTCATGTCGGCCCGGTCGCGAACATAGTCCTTGAAGGTGCCCTTGGGCTTGTGGTTGGGCAAGGCGGCGGGGTAGTCCTCGGAGTCGAAGCTGTCGTAGGAGGGCACGCGCTGGAGGCTCTGGAAGGACGACTGGCTGCTCCAGGACTGCGTGAGGCGGTCGCAGCTGTCGTAGCTCTCGATGCTCTCGAAGGAGTCCTGGCCGCCCAGTTTACCTGGCGAGGAGGAAGGGGGCACGTGAGATGACGCCACCTCTCATGGTTGGGCTCCATCATCTCCAAGGTCTTTTCCAAGCATAACGGTCCTGTGATTCTGTTCTACGAACAGCACCCAAAGCAGGGCCATCCCGGCCCCAGAGGTGTCCCCACCGGCCACCCAAGCAAGATGCCTGAAGCCACATGGGAATGTCCTCTGCTTTGAGCAATACTCCAGTTGAGCCCAGCTCAGGCGCCCCAGGGTCCCTCATTTGGCCTCCAGCACCTGCTGCAGAAAGACACGGTCTCCCCAAAGCTGTATCTGTCATTCCCACATAAGCGCTGCTCCGGGATAGTCAAGGCAATGGGACATCCATGTTTCCTACAAAACTCCGCGGTAGCCTTTCCTTGCCACATGCCATAACCAGCATAAGCGCTGCTCCGGGATAGTCAAGGCCACGGGACACCCAGTGTCTTGACTTTCCATGTTTCCTACAAAACTCCGCGGCAGCCTTTCCTTGCCACATTCCATAACCAGTTTCCAGGCCCGAAATTCCCAAGCAGCAGCAAACTGCACGGAGGAGCAGGGCCAGAGGCCGGGGGCTCCGTTATGTTTCCAGCTCTGGCAAGGTGAGCACAGCTGGCTCGTATCAAGGCTACTCCCTGGGGTGTTTTTAGCAAAGAGCAGGATACAGCAGGACGGATTCTCAGCAGCCCCACGGTGATTTACACCCGCTCGGGGCAGCCCCATAGACCCGCTGCTAAAAAAGGATCCCTCGAACGAGCTGCAGTTGCTCCCTCTGATCTCCCTCGCGCCGCCGATTGCTCAACCCCTCTCCTGACGAGCGGGAGAGCGGGATGGGATCATCCGAGTTCACCGATTTCCCAAAGCGGGCTAAAAACAGCTGCTGGGATTGCGCAAGGGCTCCCGGAGAAGTTTCCATTGGCAGCGGCGCCCGGAGCGCGGCACGCGGAGCAGCGCTGGCGCGTGCCCCCACATCCCTGCTGGGCTCAGCATGAAGAGCACTTGCCACCAAATGGCTTAGCCTCCGTGGGTGCCGAGCTCTGGGAATTCCCACTCCGGGAATCTTCCTCCTGCATCCTAGGAAGGTGCCGGCTCTCCCTCCGGAAAGGGCAAGTTCAAATTTCAATGCCCTTAAAATCATTGCACGAGACTTAGTCCCACCTAAACCGGACCTGGCTGGGAGCCCTTGGACATCAGCCCTTGCCCCTCCTGAGCCCAAACCCAAAGCCTTGGGCAGCTGCATTTTCCAAGATTTGCTCTATTTTCCAAGAGGTGCCTTGGCTGATAAGGCAGAGGGGGGAAAAGGCACCCAAGGAGCCTCCGAATTAACTCCTAGCCCAAAGACAGGCAGAATGGGACCGCTAGGAGAGCCTTCCCCTGGCCTTCCTCCCTCTGAAGTGTTTGACTTTGCGGCTGATTAATCTTTTAATGCAGTCACTTGATGTGGAAGGTACAAAAGCGTATGTAAATACAACTGTGCTGGACTCTGGTTTATATTAAGGCTTCTTTCTACCACTCTGGGAGGATTTATGCCACCCCGAGGCCCTTCTACACTGCTCAAATGAGTGTTCGTGTAAGCAAGACCGTAGCCGGCTGCATTTCTCAAATCCCACCCGGGGTTAAAGTGTTTGCTAACACTCGTGGCCCTGGGTCCCCAGTGCAAGCTTAAAGTCTCTCACTTCTCTCCCCTCGAGCCTTTTTAGGCTTGCCAGAGAGAACAGGCTCGAGGTACGATTGCAAAAGCAGACCTGAATCGTTGCGTTTCAAGGGGAGTTATTACGAAATCACCTACATGAAAGAGAAGGTCAAGAAAAGGGAAAGGCACAAATGAAAGACAGCCAGGAGGGAGAGCCCGGAAAAAGGAGCTCACCTAAAATTACAGCACAGCTGTCTCTTCCCTGGGTCCCGGGTTCCCTATCTGGAAGCTGGAGATCATGATGCCCCCGTGGAAGCAGCTTGGAGCGCTCCGGATTAAACTTCCCCTTTGAATAGACACCAGATCCTCAGCCCCATTTCAAGCAGTCTCATTACAATGGAGCGGGGCACCTGGGCCCCACGTGTCCAGAATTTAATAATATTAATTGAAGAGGCATTTGGGCTCAGATCCCCCAAAGCGGGTAGGTGTTCAGCTGCCATCAAGTCACACAGGAGCTTTGCACCTATCACTCTTTGGAGCTTGTAGCACAAGAATTCAGGGGTCATTCGGCTCTGTCACCGGCCCAACACGACATCTGCACCTCCTAATAAAGCCTATGGCCCGGGTTCACTGGAAAACATTATCAGTTCAAGCAAAGAGCCATCAAAATCCATGGAGATAATGGATACAGACTTCAGATCCTCATGCTCAAAAGCTTTCAGAGCCTGGGACAGTAATTCCTGATGAGAACTTGTGAAGGATTTGTGGGCTTTTGCCTGGTCTCCTAGGAAAATGAGATTTATACAAGCACACAGCGGTCTGTCCTCCCTAGTAACTTCTAAGCCTATTTCAACTTCACTCGAGTTCGACATCAAAGTCGAGAGCCAGAAATGTTGTATTTTTGCAGATGTTGTAAAAACAGGCAGCTGAGCAGAGCAGTGAAATACCCTCTTAATGTTTTCCCCCGAGGAAAATAAGGCCAGGGAGGGCTCCAAGCCATCAAGGAATCTATCTGGGAGGTTCAACCCCAGGAAACATAAACATTGGGAAATCGGCTTCCTTAATGCCACGGCCCGGCTCCCCGTTGGGCAAAGGGGAGGGAAAAGCAGCACTCGGAGACACGGAGATGGGCAGAGGCAGCAAGATTCCGAGGAAGGAGGTCGGATTTACCTCGGCTGGCGCGGCCCATGCACATGTTATCCGGCGTCACCACTTCTTGCTTGATGGTGAAGTAGTCCGTCTGCAGCGCGTCCGTCTGCACGGGCTCCCGCAGGATGACCGAGGGGTAGTCGTTCTCGTACTTGAGGGACAGCAGCTCCTCGGAGCTGATGGGATGCAGCGTCTGGTAGGACTCGGTGATGAAGCTGGGCTCGGAGAACTCGGAGGGGGGCACGCACTGCGCGTGCTCGATGCCGTAACCTGCCGGCACAGCGGGAACGTCGTCAGCGCGGCGCCCCGGAACTCGGGAGCTCATCCCCCTCGAGCCTCCCACAGCACACGGAGGTCTCGGGGCTGCTTTTCCTACGAAGGGCACCGCTTTTTTTGCCCCGAAACCCCAGGACTTACTAATGAAGTAGTCGGAAGTATAGCGGGATTCTGGATAGGCTGCGCTCACTCCGTTGGCCGGGTACGGCTTCACCTCTTCTGCAAAGGGAAAAGGAAGCAAATGTCACGCAGGAACATGGCCCCAGCAAGGCTTTCAGAACACACATAGCCCCGAGCTCCCTAAAATCCCCCTCTCCAGCTGAAACTGGGACTTTTCAAGGCGCAGAAATGGGGTGAGCGCCTAATGCACGTGGGTTCCACCGAGGCTTCTAGTCTCAGGCACGGCAAAGAAGTAAAAGAGGGGTGAAACAAGCAGAAAAACCCAAACAAACGGGCAAAACAAGAGAAAAAAGCCCTCGGCCCCTTTCTCAATCAGAGGCTCCAGGTGGTTTTGAAATATCCATTGCATAATTTCCTTGCTGCCTTTCATTTTTGCCGCCTCTCGTCCTCCTGACGATTGTTTGCCAAGGTCGCGGCACAGATGAGCTCACGCGAAGCTCAGGAGTTGTTTCCCCCTGAAAAAGGGGGGAAAAAAGCCCCTATTTTCAGGCCTTTTGCCTTACACCTGGCCAAGGCAGAGGACGGGGTGTCCCGGAACGCTTTGCTGCCCGGCGCCGCATGCCCGATGCTGCACGCATGCATGGCCAGCACCTACAGCTGCAGCCTCTCCATGGGCATGATTCACTAAGGAGGGGCGTGCAGCACATCCAGGAGTGGATTTTCCGCTTTTTCCGCTGTTTTTTTCCCCCCTCACCTGGGCCTGAATTTACCTTCCCAAGCAGCAGCCCCCGGGCTGGCTCCTGGAACAGTTTTTCCATCAGCACCTTCTCCCCATGGGCTGCAGCTGCTGCACGGGAGGGTTTATTTGCTTTGCAGCGGGTAGCAAAAAAATAATAATTAAGCAAAAAAAAAAAAAAAAAGAAACCCACAGGCAACGCCGGGTCGTGTTTATTTCTGCTGAGGCTCCAGAGAAGCCAAGCAAAGATAACGCACGTTCGCTCGCAAGGAGCCTAATTTTGGCCCTCTCTCCTGGGGATTGCGGGGTGGAAAATCTGCTCTGACAAAAGGAGGGTTTGTGCAAGCAGGGACCTAAGGAGAAGGGCTGCGCTCTGCTCCCCACGGCCCCTGCCAAGTGACCACGGAGAAGGAGGGCGGCTTTCGGGGCCGCTTCCAGGCAAGCGGGGTGGTTATTTTGGGAGGAAATTTGGGATAAAGAAATAATAATAATGCCCGAGCGTACCCAAACGCGTGCAGGGAAAAGTCTGCAGTTTTTCAAGCCGGAGAAGCCTGTGGGATGTGAGTCACTCGCTCGGGAAGAGCAGGTTAGCAGGGGACACTGAGGTCACGGCCTGTCCCCACGCGGCCTGGCGGGGTCCCAGTTACAGGTAAAGCCAAGACTTAGGCAAGAAGTGGCCAAAATCCCCAGGAAAACGGGAGGCGGAATGGAGATTTCTGATTTCCCAGGGCTCTGTCCACAGCGGGGAGACCAAGAAGTTCTGCTGCTTTCCTTATTTCTTGCTGCTGATACGAGCACTCAACCCAAACAACGCCGAGAGGAGAGGAGCGGAGCAGAGAGCAGCAAAACAGCCCGGCACGGAGCCTGGCGAGAGCCCTGTTTACCTTCTGCAAACCACAGGTACCAGTAAAATTAGTACTCGGTAATTAACATCCCTCCGTCAATGGGTTCCTGGAAGGCCTGGCTTTGCCCCCCCTGCTCCTTCCTGCCACCGAGGGAGGCCGGTGACAGGCGCGCGCGGCCACCGCAGCCACGCGAGGGACGTTCCCGGAAAGCAAAACAGCCCTGCACAAAACGCAGCTAGAAAGAGAGGCCGGATTTGCAAAAACGGAGGCCGAGCAGGGCCCGGCGGGGGTGGCAGCCCCTTCCCTGAATGTTCTTGCACCTTTGGAGGCGGGAACCACGGAGAAGCCGGGTGGGATTTGGTTGATGCCGTCGTGCTGGAGGAAGCTGTAAAATTCACAGCGGGAGCTGAGGGGATTGGCAAAGAATGCTTTGGAAAATCCCGCCGTGGGTTTCCAGGCAGGCCAGGGCCCGGCATAACCACCCTTCCTCTTCCAACGAGCGCCAGGATTTGCCTTGCCCACCCGGGATAGCCATTGGAGTCCAGCTGGAAGGACGCCGTCGGCATCCGTCCCCACAGAGCCAACCAACCTCTTTGGACAGGCCCAAAAGCCACCGGAGCGACCCACGCATGAGTCCTCACCTTTCTGCAGGATCTCCAGGTGTTCCCAGAGGATGTCTCCCACAAAGTCGGGCGCCAGCTCCAGGAAGCACTCCTTGCCCAGGGCGCAGAGGGCCGCTCCGTTCATGCAGAACTTCTGGAAATCCACCCCTTTGAGGCTGAACTCGTTCACGGCCCACATCACCCAGTCGCGCACGTGCGTCTCCGTCCACTGCTGCGGATCTGCGCCACGAGAGCCGTTAGCGAGCGGGAAAACGCGGCGCCGAGGGAGCGCACGGGGCAGGTGGCTCCGAGCGTTACCTTTGGGGATCCCCAGGCGCTGCTGCTCCTTGGCGAAGCCGCTGAAGGTGGCCTTCAACGCCTGGGACATCATCTCCTTGCTGCTGGGCGTCAGCAGGGGCACGTCCGCGCACTCCATGTCTGCGAGAAGCGGGAGAGAAACGGGACCATGAGCTCAAAAGACACGTCCTCAAGCGCAGAGTGGGATCCCCCTCCTATTAACTTGGAAACTCGGGAGTAGATTTGCTTAAACACAAGGGAAATAACCATATTCCTGGGAGAAGCCCGTGCTGAGGGGCCACATGGGGTCTCCACAAGCCAACCATGGGCATGTTGACATGTTGGGGTATGGTGACAGTCATCCCAAAGAGCACCATGGACTTTGGGTCGTCCGTGACCCCGTCGTCTCCCAACTTCCCACCAAAGCAAGGGGAGAAGCATCATTTTAATGGAATCCCAGCAGCCCTGGAAAAGAAAAGGGGAAGTTCACGGCAGGACGAGGCCCGGCGAAGAAGGAGCGGCCAAAAAGCAGAAACCCATCCAAGGCGGGAGGCAAAACAAAGAGCTGGAAAATCCCACGTTGGGCCGGCGTTACATAACGCGGAGCGCCGCGATGGGGAGTGAGTCACCGGCCGGCGCTCGGCCGGCCCCGCGGGAGAGCCCGGGCCTTGGAGCTGGGCCTGCTCTCCGTCCCGCTCCCTTTCTTTCCCTTTCTTTTTCCCCTCGTGCAGTTGGAAGGGGGTGGATGCGGGCGACCCGCGCGTTTCGCAAGGCCGCCTTCCAAACGAAAACCCCCCTCCGCCGCAGCGAAGGTTTGGCTCTTCTCCGTGGATTTTTAAGCATTCCTGAAAAAAAAAAAGAAAACAACGCGGCTTTCGTGGAGAAGGCAGAGGCCTTCCCAAACCCGCCGTTCCAATGGGAACGCTACGTCGCCCGTGGGAATCCGTGGGAGCCACCAAGACGTTGGCCAACGCCGCGTTGAGTTTCGCAGCCAACGGCCAACCCATCCGCGGAGCAGGGAAAGCGGGAATGGGCACGGAGAAAGGAGCAGGCACCCCGGGTATCCCGGATAACGCCAGGAGAAAGCGGCTCCGTGCCCCTTTCCCTTCATCCTCACGTTACACTTTAACGCCGCGGTCGCGGGGACCACCCAGGGATCCCGGCTGCTCCGGCGGCAGCTCCGGGAAGGGGAGGCAGAGAGGGGCGAAACGCCGACGTTCCCACCCCGGCGCCGCACCGGAGCGCCGGCGAAAACCTCGGCGCAGGGACGAGCCCGGGAGGCCCCGCGGCCCACGCACGCAGACACGTTTGCAAGGCGCTAAAGGAGGGTGGGCTCTATTTTTGCTGGTTAATGAAACCCCAAAGCGAAGCGAGCCGCTCGCTCGAGACACCCTGAGCGCTCGCGGGCGCCTAATTTTAGCCGGCTGCTAAAATCGCGGCGTAAAATTAACAGCGTTGCCAAAGCTGCACGGGGGGGTTGCTTCGCGACACTCCTGCAAACCTCCTCTCCGCGGCTCCAAACCCGGAGCGCGAGGAAACTCGGAGCATCTCCAAAGGCTCCCGGGTTCAGGCACCGAGGAGCTTTTTCTCACGGAACGAGGAGGCCGCCGAGGCCCTTCCCACGCTCCGGAGCCGCCGGCACCTCGGAGGCTCCGCGGGCACCCCCGGGCAGCCCGGTGCCCCGCGCCGCAGCGGGGCCCGATAAGCCCGGCTGAGCCCCGCTTATTTAGGCAGGATTAGGCAAAAAATTTGCGTGCACTTTTGAACTGTTTTCCCAAGCCTTGCCTCTCACTCCCACGCAGGAAGCCGGAGCGGAGCCGGCCTGTTCCAATTAGGGCCGCGAGGGCAGCGCTGCTCGGGGGGGAGGAGGGGGCCGGGAAGAGCGGGATGCGCGTCGGGAACGCGGCGCCGGAGCAGAGCCGGCCGCGGCGCAGGTAGCGAGGGGGATTCGCCAGCGCTCGCCTCAAATAAACGCATCTCTGCCCTTCTTGGAGGAGAAAGAAAGGAAAAATCACCCTTTTTTTTCCCCCTTCAAGCGGTGAAAAATAAATACTCGGAGATGAAAGCTGGGCTTCAAGAGAGGAAGCCGAAGGGCTGCAGCAAGCACAACAAAGCCGGCTTTCTTCCGGCGCTCGGCAGCTTTCTTATGGAGATGCGGCCCGGCGCGGGGGCAGCGCCGGAGAAAGGGCCCCCAGCGCCTTCCGCTGCCCGCGGAGAGCGGGATTTGGGAGCCGGGAGGCCCCTTGGCGCTTAGGGAGGCCCGGGAAGGCCGAGGAGCCGGGTGGGAGCCGGCTCCCTGGGGAGGAAGCGGGAACGCTGCCCGGAGCGGGATCCCGCTTCTCCTTCCGCCCTCGCGGCTCCGAGCGCCCCACGCCTGCACCCAGCAGCCTCCTGAAACTCCCCGGCGGAGGCCGCAGGACCAACCGGCCTCCCTTGAGGCCGAGGTAGCCACGGGATCAGGGCCTGAGCCCTTCCAAGGCTTCCAAGCACGGCCGGGATCCGGTGATCCAAGGAGGAGCCAATGGCTGTCCCTGGAAGAAGGTGCCTAGCAGAAGGAGGTCAACATGTCCTGCCGGAATCCCGAGCAGCTCCGCTGCCCCGTTCCCAAAGGAAAGGGCCGAGGGCTGCTCCGTCCGTCGCCACGACAGGAACATTCCTTAGGAGGCCTCTCCGCGGCTGTCGCAAGCCCTGGAATTCCCCCGGCTTTGCTTGATCTCCAGCCCGAGTCCTTCCCAAAGCCATCCCTCTGTGTCCTGGCACCCGCGCGGGCCCCGAGGCGCAAGCACGGCCACGTCACGGGCGGCCACGTGGGCACCACGTGGCAGGACGCCGCCTCAGGGCCCTCGAGCCAGGGTGATGTTCAACTCCCAGACACCTCCCTACGCAGCCAAGTGACTCAACCGCGCTCAGCAGCTCCTCCTGCCCGGGGGCACCCCTAGCTCCACCAGACCCAGGTGGACCTAGTAGGAGAACCCACCCCTAGGTCCATCAGACCTAGGTAGACCTAGTAGGAGAACCCACCCAGGTCCAACAAGACCTAGGTAGACGTAGTAGGAGAACCCACCCCTAGGTCCATCAGACCTAGGTAGACCTAGTAGGAGAACCCACCCCAGGTCCAACAGACCTAGGTATACCTAGTAGGAGAACCCACCCCAGGTCCAACAGACCTAGGTATACCTAGTAGGAGAACCCACCCCAGGTCCAACAGACCTAGGTAGATCTAGCTGGTGCACCCACCCCTAAGTCCAACAGGCCTATGTAGACCTAGCAAGTGAACCCACCCCTGGGTCCATCAGACCTAGATTGATCTAGTTGGTGGACCCATCCCCAGGTCCACCAGATTGAGGTGGACCCAGTAGATGGACTCACCCCTTGCTCCACCAGACCTACGTAGATCTAGTAGCCAGACCCATCCCCAGGTCCACCAGACCTATGTAGATCTAGTAGGTGTCCCCATCCCCAGGTCCATCAGACCTATGTAGACGTAGTGGGTGCACCCATCCCCAGGTCCATCATCCTGAGGTTGCCCCAGTAGATGGATTCACCCCTAGCTCCACCAGACCTACCAAGACCTAGTAGCTGGACCCATCTCCAGGCCCACCAGACCTAGGTAGACCTACTAGGTGCACCCATCCCCAAGCCCACCAGACATAGGTAGATCCAGTAGGTGCACCCATCCCTAGGTCTACCAGACCTGCATAGACCTAGTAGCTGCACCCATCCCCAGGCCCACCAGACCTACATAGACCTACTAGGTGCTCCCATCCCCAGGTCCACCAGACCTAGGCAGACCTAGTAGATGTCCCCATCCCCAGG